GGTAAATAATAAATATTGTAGTTGGTTTTCATATTTTGATAATTTAGTAATTTTTTTATAAACTAGAATTTTTTTTTTCTTTTTTTGAAATCTTCACAGTACTTAATATTGTTGAAGTTATTACTAACATTTTTTTGTTGAAATTTACAAACTCTATTTCCCTACTGTGTTTATATTTACAGTGCTACTACTGTGCATTATATTTTACCAGAATTAAATGTATATAAAAAGATATGGAAAAAAGACAATATTGCATTTTTATTAAATAAGTATTTGTTATTTTAATCATTAAATTGTTTTTAAAATAGTGGGAGTATTTTGTATGTTAAATAATTCATTAAAAAAAAAAATGAATGAAAATTTATTGTATTAAGCTACACACCCTAGTTACAGAATTTTATGTATAGATTTTTGAATAAAGATTTCTTTTCAAATTTGTCTCCTTATAAAAAGCAATTAATAAATATTGCATTGTACATGGTTCACATATTTTTATATTCTTGTAAATAAACATTGCTGAGGGAGTAAAAAATGTATACAGTAATAGTGGTGTCAAGGCAATAACTTTTTTTTTTTTTGACTTGCTGTTTTTTGCAAGTACAAAAGGATTGCGCCAGAAATTATTCCAAAGAAAGCTTATAAAATAAGCGTGATGGTTCAAATAGTCATTCCACAGGGAATTTTTATATAAGTTTCATAAACCTGAAACAAATAGTTGTGCTACAGAGAAAATGATCTGAAAACTAATAAGCACCATGCAAGGAAGATGGAGACAATGAAGTAAATAATTTAATCTTGCCAAGTTTAAAAACATATAACAAATTTATTCTTAACACACAAAAAATGAATTCCACAAATTGTATGTATGTATGTATGTATGTATGTATGTATGTATGTATGTACGTATGTATGTAAATTATCAATGACAATGAAATGTGCCTTTTTACAATTAAAATTATAATGCTACATAAGGTGGTCCTCAGAAAAGAAAACTACATAAAGTGAATAAAAAGCGAAATAGTCCTCTGAATAGTTTTCAAAGAATAATTTGATACAAGTTTTTAAGCAAAGTTCATTGTAACAGCGAAGAGTAGATGAAGCACACCAGCTGAATACTTTTCCTTGATGTAGAAATACAACCTTGTTGTTCTTTTCAATTCTCATCTGGTGGTTGTCTAAATTCTCCTGCATTGTTTTCTTTCTGGACAATGGTGATTTGGATTCTTGCAGCAGCTGTTTGTTGACTCCAAAGATCAAATCCAAGGCCCTCCTCAAATAACCTATAGGTAGATTTCAAATATGCTGCTCAGAATTTGGAGGAAAACCCTTTTTTATTGGTTTTAGATTAAAAAGAAATGCAGCTGAATTGTCACTAATCAAAATGTACTATTAACATTTTCGAAATTTAAAAATTCTTATACTGTAGATTCAGAATCAACTGTATCGACATGTCCAAGAATAAATTTAATATAACAAACAACTTTATTTAATGAGCAAAGGTTATCTTTTTATGTTTCCATTACAAAGAGAAATTAATTTTTGATTTTTATTAAATTTTTTTATTTATTGAAAGCTCTTTTTATAATTGTTGTCCGTGTTTGTTTTTATATATACCCTTTAATACAAATGCAGTCTGGAATAGTCGTGCTGGTAGGAATTTTTCAACTTATAAAATAAGCGTATCATTTCAAATAAAAATTCTGTTGGGAATTTAATATATAAGCTTAATAAATGATGATGTAATCACGTTGCAGAGAAAATTATTTTAAAAATGTGTGCTGTACTAAATAAGCTCTGTACTGGGGAACAGAATTGAAAGAAATAATTCAATCGTGTCGGCATTTTTATTTGGTACACAAGTAGATAGCCATTTTATGGCTGTTAGTAATCAGATCAGATATAAAGAAAAAAATTACAGTATTTCATCCTTTTTTTTTTTTTTTTTTCTGGTTGAATTTTTTTTTTAAATCTAGTTTTTTTTTTTTTTATCTTGTTTTAATCTCAAAATTAGACAGCACAATTGAAAACTGATATGCATATGGACAGTATATGAATACATTTATTTTTATGCCATAATTTGTTACCCATTGCTCTGACTATGTGAAGGTCATAATATTGTCAATGAATTAATTTCATAACAGAAAGTCAGCCGCTAAAAATCATTCTCTCTACTTCTCTCTCTTGCTTCAATTATAGAAATAAATCCTTTGTTTATTAAACAAGTAGTCTGACTTGTGTTTATTTGGTAATAGAATTTAACTTTAATGCCTCTTACTTTTTATGTTTTGTATTATATAATGCCCTCTTTTACATGTGGATACATATTTGATCCTTTCCTTACAGAATATTAAGTTCACTTGCAAATGTACTGAATACAAAGATGACTGTACAAAGAAATGTATTTTTCTTTTATAAAATGTATTTTCTTCTATTTGTAATGATCTGCAAAATGAAATGCTTGATGTAAAAGAAAAGATGAATTACACACTTGATAACCTGTTTGCACAATAAATTCTATCACAAATACAATTAGAAAAATAAACACATTTGTTTAATTTTCCGAGGAGCTGCATTCGCTGGTTCCCAGACGTCATGAGTTCCAGCGCCTTACAAGGCTGGCATCCCGCTCTCACCCCTTCACTGTCGAAACTCCTAAATGTAGCCGTCTCTTCTCCTCTAATAGCTTCATGTCTCGCACCTCTCGCCTGTGGAACTCCCTTCCCTTTTCCTGTTTCCCTGTGAGCTATAATCTCCAGCTATTCAAGTGTAATGTCAATCAACATCTCCAGTTGCCTTGATCTATCCACTACCCTCATCCTTTCTTCTATCACTCCTATCTGATCTTGCTCTAAATTTTCTGTAACCCCTTGCGTCCTAGTGGCTTCTCGCCTTGCTCGGGGTGAAATGCTTAAAAAAAAAAAAAAATTTGATCAGTTGATTTTTGTTTTTTAATCTTAGTTGCACTTCCTATCAGTCTGTCAGTTAACATATTGAGAGTGATTTTGCTATTCTACACATAACTGGGGAGGGGGAGTAGAGATGGATTCATTCCTTTCCCAGGGGTATTTGTGCATAATGAACCTGACTGGAATTCAAACTTGGCTCTCTGATTTTGCAAAGTTGTTATCCATGACACCATACCATACCATGTGTTAAATAACCAAAAAATGAACTTTTTATTTGCAACTGAATAAAATAAAGTTCTAAAATATCATTCTTTTTATTTATTTTTGATCAATTTACTCCAAGCAAGGTGATAATGCCACTAAGACACAAGGGCTACTGGGAATGAAAGAGAATCAGCAGAATTTAGAAAGAACTGGAAATCCAATCTTAAAGAGGAAACAAGGGATAAACCTCTACTCCTGTTTAAAAGACAGGGGAGGAGTGTGAACCTATCTACTCTTACAATGTGTTCCTCACAATTTGGGTTTCTTTTTCTGTGTGTATAGAAAATATTTGAAGATAATGGGAATGATAAATAGTTGTCAAATTTCTGTTCACTTCAGATTTCTCTTGTTTGTCAAATCTGGCTCAAGGGCATATTTGTGGAGCCTTCGATGATGACTACCAATGATTTACCTGACTCATTAAACCATTTTCTTAGTAGTACTTTAGTGTGTCAAATTTTTGCTGTGAATATTGGAACATGTTTCTAAAATCTGAATAATTGTGACACTTATTGAGATTTAAATGATGTAAAGAATGATATTAAAAGCATTTGTGAATTCAGTTAAATCAAAATTCAAACTTTCATTGTAGAATGTTCTTACACAGCATACAAATATTTGGTATATAAATGAATATTTACTTTAAGCAATCTGAGTTGCACTTTTAGAATATTTAATATTCTAAAAGTTCAAATCCATTCCTTTTGTTTAATTTGCAATTCTGATTGTGTTAAATAATTAGGCTTGATTTTTTTTTTTCACTATTTAAAAAAAAAGTTGTTGCTTTTTTTAATCTCATTTGAGCCAATCTACTTCTTGGTCTTTATACTGTTGCAGGAATTTTGAATAAAGAAATAGCTTTTTTGATCAAAAGTCTCTAAATTTTTTGTTTCATAGGCCAAGGGTCAATTGTCATTTTTTCCTCCTTACCTTTGGGCTTAAGGCCATATCATGCTGAAACACTGGTTCTTGTACAATCACCAATGTTAAGCAATGTCAAGCCTGGTGACTGCCTGGGAATACCAGGTGCTGTAAGCTTGGATGTGCAGGTGGTGTAATGGATAACAGCTTGGAATTAGAAATTGGAGAACCATGTTCCAATTCCAGTCAAGTTCATTATATTCACTCACACACAAATACCCTTAGGAAAGGTACAAATCCTTCTCTGCTCCTCGCAAAACAAAATGTCAGAAAACACTGGGTTAGCAAAAATGGTATATCTCTCTCATTGTTTCTGTTTCTCTATCTAGAAAGTAAGATTGATTGATTTGTTTTATACGGCTTTGCAGGAGAAAGATTTTATAATTTTCAACTGACATGTCATGGATAATGACTCAGAATTGTTAACTGGAGAGCAGAGTTCCAATTCCAGTCAGATTCGTTATATTCACTTACATACAAATACCTTTGGGAAACGTATGAAACTACTTCTTCCACTCCCCAGCTATGGGTTAATTAGTTGGACTTATATCACTAAAACATTGTCTCCCCCAAAATTCTTAAAATCTAAAAATATTTTTTTGCTTTAAATAACCTGCAAAATATTGATAAGTTGTAAAAGACAAATTAATCAATCCTCCTTACCCTCATAATCTTAATCTTCTACCAAATCCTCTTTTATTCATATAATTTAGCATAATCATTTTGACTGTAGCCCTCTATCTTGAGTGACTCTCGAGTCTTATATTGGGTAAAATTTAATACAAGATAATATAATTTTATTCTGAGTTCCCACAATTTAACAGAAGAGTAGATTGGTTAAAAAAATATAAGGAAAATATTCAAGATCTCAAAACAATGTAAAATGATTTTAAAAATTTCTTTTTGCAGACTATCAACAAATCAAAGCACAAAGAGCATAAAATTCTGGAATTTTACAAAGATAGGATTCCAATCAAACCTGGAGGTATGAACAATTGCTTTTTAATTTTTATTTTTTTTAGATTCATTTTGTGTTGAAAGTTGTTGGTTAATATCCTAACTTTGTAATGAGAATATACTAGAAATGTGAAACTTCAGTTAAATGTAACTCTTGCTATTTTATCAACATTTGTTTATTTTTTTTTTTCTACCTACATTTACAAACTAAGGATATGAAATTCTCACAGATTTGATGTCATTATGGGGTTTGTTTTTTTTTTTTTTTTTTTTTTCCAAATCCATGAATTTGTTTTCCTCATACTAAGTCTTGAAAAAACACTAAAAATTCACTATTTTTTTTTATCCATAATGTCGAATGTGTTAAATTTATTCAACTTTTTAACAAGAAAAATCTCAATGATGTTAGAAATGTCTGCAGAACATTGTTGTTTTACTTAATATAAAATGATCTATTATGACATGTCTTTTAATTTATATTTAGATACATTGTATTTATTCTCAATTTTTCTAGGTGCATATGATCCATTATTGTACATAATTCAGTTACAATAAAATTTGTATTTTATATGAATACTACCTTTATGAAAATTGAGATGTACTAGAGTGAAGGTACTCTGTATCATAGATTGTGGGTGCACAGGACCCTTACACCTGCCTTGTCCACAGGTTATGCACATAATGATGTAATATCAAGTTTTTCAATTTGACATTCTTGAAATTTTTACAAAAATATTGCATAAAGAATTGTTGTAAAGTAAGCTTTGTTAATAATAAAATTAAGTATTTATATAAAACAAAATTTTAACTTATAGAAAAATACCATGCTTGTTAAATTTTATATCCAATTGAATTTAATGCTGAATAAAATGCTCCAGTGTAAGCCAGTCATTTTTTAACTGGTGTGCCTTAACAGGATCATACGTGTGTCACAAACATTTTTAAAGGTCATTGATTAAATTATTTTTGAAAAGTCCAAAGCACAATAAGTAGTGTACATATCAAAAATTCAAATCCAATTGATTATATGTGCATATCATTAATAGAATAAATAAATGTATACATAATATTTTAGGTGGAGAGAAGTATGACAAAGTGGAAAAAGTTCTTGTTTGAGGCATTTTGTCATCAAATGAAATGTCTCTCAGAAAAACTTGTTCCACTTCGTTATACTCTTTTCCCTTAAAATTATTTTTGATATATAAAAAAATTTACATCATTTTTCCCACCTAATATATTAAGGATTTATCTGAAAATATAGAATTTCAAGTAACATCTCACCTCAAAGAAGTAAATGTTTTTGCAATTCAGTTGGACAAATATACTGATATCTGGTAAAACACAAAAACCACCATAGACTAAACCTAAAAACAAACATAATTGCGAATTTATACAACTAAATATAAAAAATGTCTACCCTTCTATAACAGAACCCATGTTAGATAAGGCCATCTCACTAGCTCAAGAATAAATAAAAATAAGCAAAAATGAAGTAAAAAAAACATTAAGCACAGCTGAAAATTGCTATTCAACAATGAAGACGTGTGGATAAAGAAAGAACATTTGACATTACAATGTTTTGATGGTGCTAAACCTGTGTGCTTATAGGTATACATTTAATATGTGTACTCAGTAGAGTAAAAATGATATAGGTTTCTACAGTGACAATGGCTTCATATTCTTAAACTGTAACTGTCAAAAATCAGACAAAACCAGAAATATAATCATACAAATTTTCAAAAATATGGTATTTAACATTGACATAAAAACAAACCTAAAAGAATTAGATTTCCTAGATGTTACACTTTAAGAAAATGTACATCTCAACCTCATAAAAACCCAATGACAAACTACTTTACATATACACATCTTCTAACCACCCACCAACAATAATCAAGCAGATCCACAATCAATTAACTGCAGGTTATCTGATAATTCTTTCAATAAAACAATCTTCATTGGAGCCAAAAAAGATTATGAAAGAGCCCTAAAAGATAGTGGATTTTCAGCAACACTCACATACACACCACACAATACAAAAAGAGCCAACAGGAAAGGAAACAACATATGGTTCAACACATTCATTAAAAAAGTGTTTCTGATATTTTATATGTTAATTTGCCCTACGAGTTTGTTTTATGAAAATTGTATTGGACACTCTTTTAATTTAGCTGTTCTCTTAGTGAATATTATTTTTGCCAAATTTTGAATTGATAATTATATATTTGTTTTTCAGTACTTTCTATACTGAGTTTAGAGGACAACAAATTTTGTACCTTTTTTTTTTCTTTTAAGAACAAACTTTCATAAAGAAATTCAAGAAAACCTCAAAATATATCTTGTTTTATTCATTGACATGAAAACGCTGGAACTAACAATATGAATTAGAATTCTTTCTTCTCTTTTTTATTTTGTGTATTTTGTAAGTTTTAACTCTTTCATTTGTAAATTGAGAAAAACAACAAAAAATATCGTGAAAAATAATTCTTTTGTTGATAGACAACTTTTTCTGTAGCTGCCTGTGCAGAAGTATTTTTTAAAATGCTTCTTAAGCTTGTATTTCTGCTTTTTTTCTACTTGCTTTGACAAAAAATGAAAAACTGTGACTAATACTGTTTTAATCATATGTTTACAAATAGTTATACAAATTTGGGTTACTGTAACAAATTTGTTTGTCACAGTACAAAATATAACATTTGATAGAAGTTTGTGATTGTTTTCTTTTTTTAACCAAGAATTTTCTATGTCTAGTTCTAGGTTTTGAAAAATACAAGTGAATTTCTTTTTATTTGGACCTATGATACAGAAGAAAAAAACTCTGCTCTTTTTAAATCAGGAATAGTAGTACTGGGTGTCTACTAGGGCAGCTAGCCAGTCCCTGCTGCAGACGCTTGCTCAGGCACATTTGTGTTTGTTGAACTCCCACAGAGCCCATCTGTGGTTTATTCTGCATGTGTTGAGTGGACCTTAGTTACGGTTTCTGGGAGAGAACCCTTTATCTGGTGTGATCAGAAGTCTGAAGAAGGCCAGTACTCTCAAACCCCCGGTCACAATGACTTGTGGCTTCATACTAACACAATCATTGACAGCTACCAAATAGTTCTGTCTACCCAATTTCACTCACAAGGCTTGGGTCAACCTATGTTATGATTTTCAGGCATTTTCCAAAGGTGCCGCATGCTGTGATTGCTTCCTCCAGACAAAGAACATCAAGAAATCACCTTCCTGACAGATTAACCACCAGAAACAATGTTTGTCAATCAGGAATAATCTTAAAAAAAATTATAAGCCAAAGATATCTATAAATTTTACATTATTGCTAACATGAAATGTTTTACTCTTGTGAACAAAGATGTGTGTGTTGAAAAAATATAGCATAAAACAAATTAGTATACCAAATACTGGCTTTATTGTCTTCAATTTCTTATTGACAATGAATATATGAGCCAACACCTGTTCTTTTTTTTTTTTTTTTTTTTTTTTTTTTTTTTTTTAAAATGAGCAGGTAGTATGCCTATGGATCTGGAAAGTTTTCATCTTCAACTCATTATAAAATGTATATTTATTTTTCTTCAGGTGAAACAATAGAAGACATTTTAAAACAGTGGCATGGCAAATATAAACTACTGGAAGAACATGATGGATATATGCAATGGTTAGTCATAACTAGTTTCCACCTTTTTGATTTATGGTGTTTTTAAAAATTAAAACCAAACTCTAAAAATTTATTTTAATTTTATTGAACCGTCTGTTTTAATAATCCTTGCAACTTTTTGTCATAAAAGTGACTCGACAACAAAACTCTGTAGAGTACACCCCAAACCAAGAAATTAAGCCAAAGGTATAACTGAATTGGAAAAATATCGTGTAGGGAATAAATCTGATGTTAAACCCAATTTTAAATGCTAAAACTGTTTTTTTTTTTGTTTTGTTTTTTTTTCAGATAATTGATATTTATTTGGCACAACCTGTATAGTCCTCTTTGGATCCTTCTCAGATGTTGGATTAAATAGGAACTGCAGCATAGGCAGGTTGTGTGAGCATCAGTCCTTATAAATGGGGAAGAGCTAGCTTGCTCTGAAAACCAGTATTTATCTTCTTGGCTTTTACTTGAATTAGAACACTTACCATTAACATTGCTTGCGTATTTACAACTGCTGTATTCATGCAAGCAATCACTTTTAAAAAGTCCTATAAATCCATTTGGAAACCTTAAACATTGAACTTTAAGGCCATATGTTGAAATATCAGTTCTCATATGATCACTGAAGTTAAGCAGCATTGAGCCTGGTCAGTAACTAGATGGGTGCTGTAAGTTTGGATGTGCATGTGGTGTAATGGATTTGGGTTTTGAAATCTGAGAACTGAGTTCCAATTCTAATTTGGTTCATTATATTCACTTATTTACAAATACTCTTGGGAAAGATATGAATCCACTTCTCCTCCTGAGTAAATTATTATTATCCCCCCAAAATTCTAACAATCTAAAAATATTTTCTGGCTTTAAATAACCTGCAAAAAGGCTGATAAACTGTTAAAAAAAAAAATCAATCTTGAAACATTGAAAGTCAAATACAATGCATTTTTTTTTTCTGGCTCTTAATGATCATAAAATGTACCGAGAAAAGTATTCTTCTAATCACTCTCAATTTTGGGGTAAAATTAACAAAAGTAATTAATTTACCAAGGTGGCCCAAAAGTTTTATATGCCAGTGTATTTACTTCTGTCTTTATAGTAAGTCCAATAGGTTTGATAAAATAAAACAGGCAGAAGATTTTTAAAATGACATTCAATATATTATTAACTGGGGCAAGAAATGGATTGTAAATTTGAATGCCTCCAAAATCAAACTTAGTCATCATAGAGGACCATCAGCATGGCTTATGTTAACCTCCAATAGAATAACTCATTGTGTCTTCTCAATTTCATGTTTTCCACTGACATGTAGTGGAATGATTATATTGAATGAGTTGCTAGATCTGCTGCTAGGAAAGTTGCTTCACTTCATGGCTGATAATTTATCTCATTAGAATCCATCTTGCATGTTTATAAATCTACCATTTATCTATGTATTGAATACTGCTGCTGCTACATCTAGTCTGGTACTTTTGCTACATATATTGAGATTCTTGATAAAATTCAAATGTTATTGGTCCTAATCTGACATTTCAGCTTCAGTCATTTTCCCATTGTTTTAATGTAGCTTCCCTGTGCCTTTTTTATAAATATTTTCATGGCAATTGTTCTAATGAGCTTTCCTCTTTGATGCCTTAACCTTATTTAAATGTAATACTAAATTAGCAACTAGGTTTCATGATTTTACTGCTGAAATGGCTAGATGTAACTAAGTTCTAGTCAAACTTCTCACCTGTGGAACTCTCTTCTGGCTTTCTTGTCAATTACAGTCTTCAGAAATTTCAATACAATGTCAATCACCATCTTCTGTCTTTCTGAATGCTGTTCTTTTTTATCATTTCTATTCACTAACGTTTCTCTCATTTTATTTCAATACCAGTAACCCCTTGCATCTAGTGGCATTATTCCCTTGCTTAGAGTGAAGTTATCAAAAAAAAAAAGTGAATAAAATTAAAAATTCTGCTGTATGTAAATGCTTGTTCTTAACTCTTGCATGCATGCAGAAAATCTAGGAAATATGGAATAAAGTTTTTCTTCCTTTCCAAATTAACATTTTCTGGGCAATTTCACCAAACTTAAGTTCAGAGTAACATTGATGTGTGAGAAAATTTGATTTTATGATCATGTAAATGTGATTCAGTTAGTTACTAAATCATGCAGGATCACAAAATTCTCTTCACTCTTCCCACAATTCAATGAAAATTTGGCAATCTTGAACTTTTGTGCCCACAAAAAAACAGGGTGTCAAAAGGACATTTTTTTTTTTTCAGTTGACACCACTCTTAAGCTATATTTATTGTTTTAAAAAGTGATGATTAGAATTGTAATAAAACTTAAACATATGTTGAAAGCAAATAATCCACCTTCTTTATTTCCTATTTGGTTATAAAATGATGTTTTAAGAGTTGCAATGAAAAGCAACTAAAATTAAGAAAAAAATATCAACCAAATTTTAATACATTACATAATTATTATCAATCAAGTTTGATTTCAAAACTAGGATTTTTATATTTTCAGTTTTTATCAAATTTTTTTATTTTACATATTTGTTTTTTTTTTTTTTTTTTTTTTTTACATTCTGTACATATTCTTTGGATTTTATTTCAAACACAAACATACCTCAAAGAAGGTGTGCAAAGTTCTTGGTTCAACCAAGAAGAGATACCCGAAAATTTGGTAATTTGGTAAAATTCTGGAGTAGGTTGGGCTGAGAATAATTTAGCACTTCCTTTGTATATGTTTGTTCAGCTGAATTTTTAAAGGCAGTAATTAATACTTTCAGAGGAGTGGTTTAAATTATTTTTTCCAATGTGTTAAACATATATAATAATGTCTGTAAAACTTTCAGAAACTTTTTCTTCATGATTTCCAGATGTCTATTCTATCAAAAAATGGTTACTGAGGCATCAAAGTAGCAACACCACTGATACCTTGTAAAATGGAATTCAGTTTCTTATGGCCACTGGAAGCATTTAAAAAAAAAAAAAAAGTAGTTCCTGCTTCCCACAATAATAGTCAAAATACTGAGTCTATATATGAGTAATACACTTTCTATAAGTATTTTTAAAGTCAAATAATAACTAATAAGTCATTATACAATAGAGTTGTTGCATGATGTTCCAGTTAATTAGGAAGGTGAGACCTATAGATTGATTCTTGAAGAGATTAGTCATGCAACCCTCTCAATGGGAAGAATTTCTTTTAGTCATATGCTGCAAGACATTGGCCCATTTAATGGTCATATTCATTTAAATGTCACCAGATAAGGGAAGGATTAGAAGCTGGGAATATTTAGCCTAACATTGAAGAAATAGAAACAATGAAGATCATACAAATTCTGGTGATTGCTCTTCTAAATGTTGGGTAATATTAAAAAACAAACAAACAAACAAACAAACAAAAAAACAACAAACAAAAAAACAACACTAAGTAAAACCTGATTAAACAAGAATTCAGTAAAGAAACTTGATTTTTTTTTTTTTTTTTTTTTAAATCAGTTTACCCCAAGCAAGGCAATAAAGCCACTAAGACACAAGACATTATGAAGTGTAAGAGAATATGAGAAAAAGTAAACATTATTAAGGAGAGAGGACAATAAAAGAAAGGTATTAGATGGATTGACATTGCATTTAAATCTTTGAAGATCAAAGTTGAATGGAAAGCAAGAAGCCAGAAGAGTCCCATAAGCAGAAAAAAGAAATTGTTAGTATAGAACTTAGTTACATCTAGTTTCAACTGTAAAATGATGAGATCTTACTGCACTTAAATTCATAAAGTATAGGTACCATAGAGGAAAGTTCATTAGAATTACCATGAAAATATTTATAGAAAAGACAATACCTAAGCAATACAATGTTACAGTGGTGGAAAAGTGATTGAAGCTTGAGATGCCAGGCTAGATGCCAATAATTTTGCAGATTCTTCTTTGTATTTTATCTAGAGTCTCTAAATACATAGCAGAAGCACCAACTTTCTTTAAAGCCTGTGTTAAGAATTTTAGCCCCCTTTTATTTTTCCCCTGACCTTTTACAATTCTGATCAAGTTCAGGAAAATACTGTTTATAAATGAAATAAATCACACACAAACACACACATATATATATATATATATATATATATATAATAATTATTATTATTATTATTTTTTTTTTTTTTTTTTTTTTTTCCAGGTTATTTCCTAGCCGTAAACAAAAAAGGAATCCTAATGTTGGTATTCTCACTGCTTATGAAGCAAAGGTTAGTAATTTAATATTAACTTTAAAAAATCAAGTTCTTCTTGGGTTCTTCCAGGGGAAACTGATGATAAAGCTTGCATGATTTTTCCATTAACACTGCTGTTACTTTAACTACCTTCATTCCTCAGCAATGTTTATTGTTTTAAATGCAGTGGTTAGAATTGTGAATTGTGATTTTTTTTTTTTTTTTTTTTTTTTTTTAAATTTACAACAAAAAATATTAAGCACTATTTATTTATTAGATTATTTACAAGAATAATCCTATACTTACAACATTCTAAAAACTAATACAATTGTATTAAAACTAATGCAATATTTATTATTTACCAATTTATGAAGAAATAAATATGACATCAATTTTTTTTATTAATGAATTTATAAAAATTTATTAAAGTATGCGAACCAACTATAAGGAAATCTTTATTTATCATTTTATAAACTTTGAATCAATTGGCAATTAGCTAATGTTTTGCCAACCATTCCAATAAACAACATAATGTTTATTAATTTTGTTGTCAATTCTCAAGAACAAAGAAAATATATGAATTCACTTTCATATGTTTAGGTTTTATTACAATTCTAATCATTGCTTTTTATAATAATAAACATTGCTGAGGAGTGAAGGTAGTTAAAATAACAGCAGTGTCAAGGGAAAATTGTCCTTTTAAAACTCAATTTTTATGTGGGCATTAAGTCCCAAGTTTGCTCAAGTGCTTATCTTCAGCAGCAATTGTCACTTTTGATGACATATCTAGAAATCTTCAACTTCTTGCCAATTTGTCTTTTAGAGGATCCTTCTTTGAGTAAAATTTCAAATACCCTCACCTGAATGCTTAGCTGCTTTGATTTTTGCCATTTTGGGCAAATTACTTCAAAATTAAAAAATAAATAAAAAAAAAAATTCTGAAAATCTTGTAATGGCAGAATCATATTTTCCTTCACAGACAGGTCCATGTTTCTGTTTACAACATTAGACAGTGCTGAGCTAATGTCTAGAACCTGTATTAACATTTAACAGTTGAAAATTTTGGTAATCTCAAAAAGTCTAGAGATGAGTAATGGTGATAATATAATGTTTCTCATACAAAATATTCATAATTTATCAAAATGCATTGTGGTCAGATGAATTCTAATTTTAACTTTTTTGTCGTAAGAGGAACCTGGAGAAAAACTGAAAAATAAAAGCACTGTAGGTGCTGAAATTTTATCTTTTATTCAAAAAAAATAAATACAAAAATATCACATTTTAAGGTGTTTTTTTTTTTTTTTTTTTTAAGAGATGCAAATGGCCCCAAACTTTTTGCCTGTAGTGTAATATATATAAACAAAGAATTTTGAAAATTTCTGGTTTTACATGTTTTGATGATGAAGTAAATTTTTTTTAATTTTTGGATAATGCTGATTTATTGCAAAAGCATCAAAACATGGCAAAGAAATTTTCCAAATTGTCTTGTATATTTACCATTCCATCCTATCGGATACTCATCCAATTTTCAATTTTTTTTTCTCTCTCTCTCTCTCTCACTCACTCACTCACTCTCACACACACACACACACACACACACACACACAGATGTATTTAGGCAGCAAAAATCCTTTTAAACAGGTTTTGTTGAATAATATTGACAAATTCTGTCTATCCAGTTGCTTTTAAATTTCAACTAATTTGGAACTTTCATAAAAATTCAGATAGACAGAACTTGTTGATATTATTCAATAAAGTGCGTGTGTGTGGACACAGAGGTAAGATTGTGTTGAACTATGAAATGGACTGCCTTCAGTGTCCACTTTTATACACTCTATCTCTGATATTGAGCATTTTTACCCATAAATATAGCATACTATAAAATTATATTTTATCATATATTTAAAGACTAATTAAGAAGAAAAATATAACTGCATTTGCTGGGCAATCTTCATATTGAATTGAAAGAGAAAGACAGGAAACCTTTTGAAGTGGAATGGAAATAGTTGGACTTAGGTGTAGGATAGATTGGTTATGTCTGGAAAAGAAAAGCTATTTTTTTTTTTTTTTTTTATTTAGAACTCTTCCTTATCCATGACAGGACTTTTAACTAAAATATCTTTATTTTCCATGCATAAACATAACAAGTACCTTCTCTCTTGACTAAATGATCATGTATTCATCCATATTTATATATATGTAGTATCTAACCTGGGGGATTTTACTTTGTGCCTGTAGATCACCCAAGTGTGAAATTGGCAGTCATGTATACATTTTTCTCTCTATTTATTTATTTATTTTTTTAACAATTATTGTAGATTTGTCTGCTTGATAGTGAGCACAGTTTTCTAACTAATGAAATGCTATAGCAAGTTTGTTAGCATTAATAACAGTTTGTCTGGTCACACTCAGTCTTTTGAACAGGTGAGAGGTCTATCCCTTGTTTCCTGTTTAGGATTGGGTTTCCAGTTCCTTCTAAAGTCTACTTCAATTCTATACTCCTAATGTCCCTGCCTGAACTCTAAATTTTATTTACTAATTATTTATTAATTTTTTTTCTCTCAATAGGAGTAGATAAGTTTGCCTACCATCTGGTTCACACTTCTCCAGCCTTTAAACAGTGGGTAGTGGTTTATCCCTTGTTTTCAGTTCAGGATTGGGATTCCGATTCCCACTAGTCTTTTCATCCTCTTGTGTTTTTCCAGTCACAACAATCTTGACTTCCAGAGTTAGGCATTGTTTTTCCTGCGTAACCCTATGAACTTCAATTCTTACCCTTTCTTACATTCCTGCAACACCACACAGTAACGCTCTACCTTGAGTGGCTCTTGGGTTTTGTATTAAGTGAACATTAGTATAAAAAATATAAAAAAGAAAGAAAAGATTAAGGAGCAAGTGTAAAGTGAAAAAAAAAAATGAATTGGACAAATAATCATGACATTCTACCTGTACATGCAAACATACATACTATGCCAAAAAAAAAAAAAAACCCAAAATAAGTGAAGAATGCATATAAAAAAGAAAAATCAAGAAGTATCTTTCTTTTCTTTTTATGTGCCATGTCCTTTCAGGACGTAGGCGATCATGGCTCTCCACCTCCATCTATCCTTTGCAGTTCTCAACAAGTGCCTCCCCTCTGCTTCATCCCCCAGACTACGTTCTGTCATCCACTTGCTTAAGCCTGCCAGGTATGCCATGCATTGTTTTCCCTTGTCTCTTTTTTTCCCCTCTATTTGACCCATGAGTATCAGATTGTCCAGGCCTTCCTTCCTCATTATGTGTCAGAAACTTCAGCTGCCTTTTCCTGACGTTAAGTATAAGCCTCTTCCTTGTTTGCAACCTCTCTAAGACCTGGTTGTTGCTCACATGCTCAGTCCAGGATATCCTTAGCAACCTTCTCTAGAACCACAAGTGGGTGATGCAATTCCTGGTGGGTTCATCCATGAAACACAAAACTCTGAAGTTGGGATGCTGAATGTAACATCAATCAGCTAAGTGACACACATATTACTTATATTAATTATATATATATATATATCCAGGTAAGATGATTGTCTGATGAGATGCATTGATACACATCAAAACACAACTGCAATTGTGTATTGATTTTGACATGTTTTCGGTGTAATATCCTGATATATATATATATATATATATATATATATATATTATTAATTTGTGCTATTACAGTCTTATGAATTGTCAAAATAGGACTAAGCCATCTTACAAGAATTGAATTCTAACATGGGTTACATGGTTAGTATATACACCCATGATATGCTGATTATTATCCTGTTGTTATTATCATTACATTTTTTTTGATTGCTTGAGATAAGTGTTTGTTTGTTTTTTTAAAAAGAAAAAGTACATTTGGATTAATTTCCTTGCCAGGTTTTTTTCCGCATCTCAATGTTTAAACTGTTTTACTCTCCTGACTTCCTTGCATGCAAAAATATTATATTTAACAATTTCATTTTAAATGTAACATTAATATTCACTTTCCTTACTGTTGTGATGTACAGTGACTGTTAATAATTAAGTATAATTCAAGACTTCAATGTTAAAATAAAACAGTATTTAATTATAACCACAAATAAATACTTAACAAGAACAAAGAAGTAAAAGTCAACCAAAGATAATTAACCATTTCAGTGAACAGCACAGCTCAGCTTAATATCTGGTAAATCCTAAATCAAAACCCAAATCATCAACGCACAGTAATTCATACTAATTTGACTGGATAGTTCTACTCAATAGTCACTGCAGTCAGTAGCCTGACACCGCTATTTATACACTTGGTGGAAACATATATTCAGTGTCATGCTTGAGTCTCGGTGTTGGGAGTTACTCATTTTCTTCCTATATGACACCTCCCCTTTTTGAAATGACATCCCTGGAGTCTATATCTCTTCAGTTTGGTTTCAATATTCAGATGTTCTGTTGCTGTTCTTTTTCTGTACCTCCTTGGTTCGCTAATTTTTGTTGACTTGGGTATGTCAATCAAATATGTCATACAATATTTCCTTATATACCTCTTTTCATGGACTTACTAAATCAGTGAATTTCTGTTTTAACTGATTAAGGTGTCACTTATGTTCCCACCTTTGTCCCTGTACCATGTATGTCATTTTCCCGATCTGCTTTTTATAATGCCATCTTCCCAGAATTCTTTTCCATGTTGATACATTTTAAAAACGCTTATCACCAGGTTTAAAATATTTATATATATATTTTGGTTTCTTGATGTTCTCGCCTTCCATTCTGTAGTAATTTGTTAAATACAGACTTAATCTTACTGGCGAAAATCTGTTCTGCTGGTGACATTCCAGACATGGTCTTCGGGTATGACGTTATTCTGAAAATGCTCAGAAATTGCTTTAACTTTACTTCATCTGCCTCCTCTCCCTCTGACATTTTAGTGCCCTTTTAAAAGTATCAACAAACTGTTCAGCTTATGCATTACTTCTTGGGTGATAAGGGAGCGTTGTAATGTGTTCTTTTACTAATGATTTACAGAAACTCACTAGGTGTGAATTGTGCACCCTTGTCTGTAACGATAGTGTCGGTTACCTTGAATCTTCCAAAAATCTTGTGTAAGAAAGTTATAGTGACCGTGGCAGTCAGTTTTCTACATTTTAATATTTCTGGCCATTTAGTGTAACTATCTACCACAACTAGATATGCTCAATTTAATGGTCCTGCAAAGTCCATGTGTATTCTGAACCATGGAATATCATTTTGGGGCCAATTTGAAATTTAATAGGTGGTGCCTTCACTGCCATGAATTGATTTTACTAAATTTTCAGTGTCTTGGTCCATTTTTGGCCAATACGTATAACATCTCATTAAATTAAGGAATTCATCCTTGAAATTCCTGGATGTCCTACGTGAAACTCTTTTAGCATACATTTTTGCAATTATGCTGGTATCAATTCTTTCTGCGTATATAAGTACATTGTCACATATTGAAAATAAATTTGTTGCAGTAATATTTTTATTTTTCCTTTAAATCTCATTTGTTTCTTCATTTTCATTATAAAGTTGTTTTTTCTGCTTTAACTCTTATTTCCTTTAACGTTACAGGCAGTTCTTTTGCTGTATTATATAATTCATTCTTAATTTCATTTTCAGCCCTTATAGTTGCAATTACTGTGTCTTCTAGTGGTTTGCAGAATTTTGGTATTAATCTAGACAGTTCGTCTGCATGACTCAATTTTTTGTATGGTAGAAACTCTATTTTATAATTGTAGTTTAATAAGATAGTGCCCCAGCACTACAGTCTATTTGCTGTATGTGTGAGAACACCCCTTTTTTGATCCATAAATGGACAATGATCTGTCTGTAGTATGAATTGTCTACTATGAATAAACTTGTGAAACTTTTTTGCATCAAATATGGCCAATGCTTCCTTTTCAATTTGGCTGTAGTTTTTTCAGCTGCTATTTACCATCTTGAAGCATGAGATTTTGTTTTAGTTGTTTCGTCCTTATTTTTGTGTAGTATCACCACTCCAATACCCAACTCATTTTCATCTGCTGCAACCACTATATATATATATATATAATTAATTTAATTTGGAATATATATATATATATATATATATATATATATATATATATATATATATATATATATATATATATATAATATAATTTGGAATATATATATTTAATTTGAATGTGTGTATATATATATATATATATATATTTGATATAACTCATAATTTTTCCAGTCTTTTCTAATTCCTTATTTATAGATTCTAATGCTGCGAAAGGTACACTTTTTGTTTGAAAACCAGTGTTATATTTTATTTTTTTTTACTTCAAATTTAGCTTTTGTTTTAGTGCATCTACATCAACCTCCTGAGAAACTTTTTATTAATTCTTTCTTTAATTTTTTGGCTGCTGTATTAGTACCAGAGGTAACAACATTTATTTTATTGCAGAATGAATTAATTGGAAGGTCCCACAGATCAAATAGTGCAATCCAATCTGTTCCAAATAAGTTAGCTGTATTCTTTTCCAAATCACTCATAAAGTCCAATTTCTTCCCTGTAACTCCACAAGCAATTTTTTTTCAGAAATGGCTAAACTGGGTTTACCCATTTTTCTCTATGTCTGTTCATTGATAATAGTGATATCAGACCCTATATCCAGTTGTAGTTCTATTTTTACATTATTAATTTTAACAAAAACAAATTTCCTCTTTTGAGATTTTTCTAGCTCAGTTAAAGACACATTTAACAAAGTTTCTTTGTAGTTTTTCCTTTAAGTTTTTTTTTACTTTACACAAAATATTTACCCTGCTCACATATGTTCTTTTTTTTTTTTTCCATTTTTTTCTATTTACAATGAGTAAATTTGTGTCCAATCTTCCCACATTCATAGCATTTTTTGTTCCTGAAAAAACAATCACTTTTAAAATGTTTACCACCACAACCATGGCAAGCATTGGGTATTGACAAAGGTGTATAATCTTTTTTGAATGTTCTCTTGGGTGTTGCAGAAGGTCTATGCTCTTTTTTCTTTAAATGGTTGGACATTACGTACATGTAAAATGTCTCCTTCTGCAATCCTTGCAGTATTGAATTTAGGATTAACCAGGCAATGACACTCTCGAGCTATTTTCTAGAGAGTTAATTTTGAATCCATCTCTCATTTAGACAGTATCTTAGCTCTTATTTCAGCATACTTATTAGCAATTAAGCACTGTACAAATATTAGGCATTTGAATAAATCTGGTGTTAATCCATTCAATTTAAATTTCTCACATTCCGGGTTCACTACACCAGCATAAGTAGCAAAATCTTCAATGTCATTCTTTACTAAGTGAACACATTGCCAATGTGTGTTAAATAGTGAGCACTGAAAATTTCTGACAGAATTAATACTGTTTCATCAAAATTTATCTCGCATGGCGTTTTTGGGGTGGGGCTGGGACAAAATAAAATTCATGTACTTTTCATGTTTGCAGAAGACAGTTTTCTTAATAAGCAAACTTCTTTTTTCCATCATCTCAGTGCAAATACTCCTTCTTGAAGATTTTGTATCTTCTATAATACACCGGAAATGTTATTCCTTCATCTGGATTGTGTAAAAATTTGCTAATTGAATTGGCAACAGCATCTGGAGTGAATAAATCTGATGTTCTTTGCAGTGAAGTTCTATGTAAGAATAAGTCTGGAACTTTCTGTTGTTGCAATTGTTGTTCCAACATTTGAACCATGACAAACTTTAATTCTTTCATTTTTCTGTAGTCTGCTGAATTGATTTCTGAATATTCTCGCAAGGTTATTTATTTGTAGTTCTCGGAAATTCGTAGTTCCACGTGTCATCGCTTTTCTGAAGTGGTAAACATTCACTAAATATTCTGTTGTTTTTTTTTCTTCTTGCGTAAGTTTAACACAAATTCTGTGTTGCCACTTTTGTGACGTACAGTGGCCATTAATAATTAAGTATAACTCAAGACTTCAATGTTAAAATAAAACAGTATTTAATTACAACCATAAATAAATACTTAATAAGAATAAAGAAGTAAAAGTCAGCCAAAGATAATTAACCATTTCAGTGAATACCTTATTAATAGTGAGGCTTGGCTTGATGTCCAGTAAATCTGAAATCAAAACCCAAATCATCGATGCACAATAATTCACACTAATTCAACTGGATAGTTCCACTCAATAGTCACTCAATAATCACTGCAGTCAGTAACCTGACACCGCCATTTATACACCTGGCAGAAAACATATATTCATAAGTCCAGAGTGTCATGCTTGGACTTTGGTGTCGGTAGTTACTCATTTTCTTCCTATCTGTTGAAATGCAGATACTATGAGTAAAGAAACAACAGTTTTAGGAAATTCTACTAGTAAATTTTGAAATTCATCTGAAGACTTTTAATTGAATTTTATGTGAAAGTGTCAAATATAAAGTTTGGAATAAGTTTGATTTAATATGAAACTCTAAAATGTATCATTTTTTTTTATTTTAGGAAATCCGTAATACAATTATATTGAAGAACAGAGCTTATCGGGCTTTTTTGATGATGTTGGATTTTTATGGCATGGAGATGGTCGGCAAAAATGAATTTCAGCTGAAATCCAAATGGCTTGAGAGACTTGATGACCTAAACAGGTGAGTGAGTACCTAATTAGAACTATCCACTTTGAACCTGGAATAAAGGCTGAGTTCTGTTTAATAGAAAAATGATTAATTCTGATTTTGACTGTTAGAATTAATGATGTGTCTAATGTCTTTGAAATTCCCATGGCAAGTTAATCTTGGATGACTTTCAGTCTTTTTGTGGTTTTAAGAATCATTTAAGCTTTTTTATAATTAGTTTCATATATAATAATTAATTTTCATTCAAATCCTCCATTTTCCTCTCCATATCCATTTTCATTAAAAAATAAAACTTTATTCAAACTTTTGCCTTTGCTATGGTTATGAACAAAGACCACATAAATATTATTCAAGTTTTATTAATGTCATAAAACTGAATTCTTTAGACATGGAAAATGAAATTAACTGAATGATAATGCCTTTGAAAAAGACATGAATCTATTTCTCCCTGTGCTCTCTTCCTCACCAGATATTTTGACCAAAATGTCATGTCACTGGCATGTCACATTGTATGACATAAATATACTAGTAATAGACCTCACAGACAAACCATTCCAGTTATTGTACAATTGTAACAAGAAAGCTCTTACTTTCAATGATTTCAAGACAAAATGTAAATAAATAAACTTTTACAAAATAACTTGTAATAAATAACATTAATAATGCATTTGTCATGTTTTATTTATAAGTATTAGTTAATTCTCAATTTAATTAAAATAATTACACTTGCTTATTTAAATCCCTCATTTGTATAAATGTTAATTCAAAGTTGAAATAGAATGAACAATAAATTTGTTGTAATCTATTTTAGGATTTTCTATATTAAAACCTCAGCAGGCAATAAAAAAGTAATTAGTTGTTGGTCTGAACACAGCTAATTTAGGCAAACATTAATGGTCAGGTACCTAGGTTTTGATTAAATTTCTTACACCCTATGTTAATTGCACTTCTAGCTTGATTATTGGTATTTATATATTAATGTCTTATTGAATGCTAAGATTAAAATGTTTTATCTATTAATATATGTAGCAATTATTATTATCTTTATATATGCAAGACTACATAAAAAAATTTTGTATATTCAGTATCTAAAAAAACAGTTTTCTCCAAAAACATACTTTTTGGAGAAATGTTTTTTTGTTTTTTTTTAAACTGGGTGAAGAATTTATAATTTTTTGCATTTTTAAATAATTTTTTATCATTACAATGATGACATTATTTTTTCTGTGTTGTTTTTATTTTTTCATTTTTATTTTCAAGATACAAACACAACTTCAAGCGGATAACAAGAATTCTAAAGGCTCTTCGTGCTTTTGGTTACAAAGTATTGATGTATCATTGGCTGCGTTTTTTGGCACAACTGATTTACCGTGATGGGAAGCTGATTGTTGCCAGTCATAGTTTCCAAAATTACTGGGTAAAAACACTTGGCAGAAAATACAGAAAGAAGCTTTTGCGTTACAGACAAGAACTTTCTTCAAAAAAGTTTCCATCATGAATATTTTTTTTTTCTAATTAATCTCAAAATTTGTTTGAAAACTATTTATCAGGTTATGTCTCCTGAATTGTTTTCCTTTTTTTTCTGAATGTATCATTTTCAGAAAAAGTTTTAGATAACATCTACATGTGCATTGCAGTGCCTATATTTAAAGGAAGCAAGACATTTTTTTTATCAACTTTGAGGCCTTTTTTCTTTTGCTTCTCATTTAAAAAAAAAACAAAAAAAAACTGACTGAAATGTGTTCCTTAATTTCTGTGGACATAATAGTATTATGCCAAGATTTAATTTGGGACTAAATATTTGTTGAATGTTGCAAAGTTTGTCACAATGCCATGTCATATATATATATATTTTGATCTCGTAACTATAAAATTGGAAGTACTAAGTTTGGTTTTGTAACAGATTGAAAACTAACATTTGAGGTTTAATTTTAATTGCCTCAGTAGGCAAGCATTGAACCCTAAATTAGTGAAATTTGTTAATATATGTCTAACAGCTTGTTAGGTATCTCAATGTTGAGACTGATTCAATACCAATATTCAGTTTGGTCCTGTATCATGGCACCAGAAAACAGAAAACATTTGTAAAAATAAAGGTTTTTATTTTATTTATTTTTCTTTTGTAAATAAGTTCAACCGATCATTAATAGAATTCACTTTAAATAAAAGGAGAGAAAATTGTTTTATATCACAAAATAAAATTCCTTCAAAACAAACCTACTAGCCTTTCATCTTCACAAAACAGGGATTTAGCTAATCATACAAGCAGGTGACCAATGGCTAAAAATATCAGAGGTGAATTTTTTTTTTTTTTTTTTTTTTAATATATGGTTAATAAAATATAAAAGTTTGAGATATTTGGCCCTTCGGTAGACAAAAGACAAAAGGTTAATCACTTGGAAATGGCTGATGAGAATTTTTTTTTTTGTCCTGGTGCAACTGACATATTTCATCAATGTCATGCATTGTAACAAGTTTAATCTTTGTCTCAAATGGTTAAGCCCCTTTCAATGAAGAAAAAAATGTTTCTCCCCCTTCATGGTCAGTTTAGCATATCTGCAATCTTTATAAGATATATATATATATATATATATATATATATATATATATATATATATATATATATATATATATATATATGAGAGAGAGAGAGAAAAATGTAGATTTGGTGGTAGAATAGTCAAAGACTGTGGAGGTCTCAAGTGACTGCTGATTGGTAATCGTTAATTATACATTTACTTATGGTAAAAAAATCTTGACTTTTACACAAGCAAAGTACTTTTAAATTCATGACCAATTGTACGGGTACTTAGATCTAAGGTTTATTTTTTATTTATTTATTTATTTTTTTAATCATTTCACCCTAAGCAAAGCAATAAAGTTAATAAGATGCAAGGGGTTACTGAGTGAGAGAATATAAAAAAAAAATCATTAAGGAGAGAGAAGAATAAAGAACAGGAGTTAAGACAGAAAATAATGACTGACATTTAAATTTTTGAAGGTCAAAGTTGACTTGAAGGCATAAGATAGTTCCACAAGCAAGAAGTGGTATAGAAGAAACTGTTAGCATAGAACTTATGGTTACATCTAGCCATTTCTGCTGTAAAATGGTGAGACTTTGCAGCCAATCTAGTACTGTGCTTAAATTTGTAAAGTCTAGGTAATAAATGCAGGTTCATCAGAACAATTACCATGAAAATATTTACAGAAAAGGCAAAGGGAAGCTATGTTACAGTAGTGGGAAAGTAACTGAACCTGAGATGCCAGGTCAAGACTAATAACATTGCAGATTCTTTATATCTTATCGAGAATCTTTAAATATATAGTAGAATCACTAGGACCAGATATGGCAACAATATTCAGTGCATGGACAAGTGGTAGACTTGTAAATATGTAAGATAGATTCTGGTGAAAAAAATTATCTAGCACAACAGTGAAGCAACTTTCCTCACAGCAGAGCTAGCAATTGATTTGATATAATCTTTCTACTTCATGTCGGTGGAAAACATTAGCCCAAGAAAGTGCAATGAGTCACTCTCCTGGTGGTTAGCATCAGCCATGCAAATGGGAGGCAAAAAAGGTTCTCTCAGATGAGTAAAAGAGCAGTTTCATTTTGGAGGCATTAAAATTAACAAGCCATTGCCTCTGTTAACAATAAACTGTAGGTCATTTATGAGATCAGCTGCCAATTTGACCATATTGAACTGATCATACTATTAAGACATGAGCAAATAGTTGTATCATCAGCATAGGTATGGAGTTAAGGACTGATGACATGAGGATTGTTTAATCAAATATTAAATTGTTTGATATTTTAAATGAATCAAAATTGTACTTTTTAATACTTTGTCAGATGCCCTGTCCATTTTATTTTCAACATTGGTTGGTAGAACCATATCTTAGTTGCCTCAAATCTTTTTCCGACAAAGTTGTCCTGATTTCATTTCAATGTGAGAGTGAAGACCTCATCATCACTTTTTTTTTTTTTGTCCTGACTAATGTTACTTTTCAAACCATTTAGTTTCTCAGTCACACTTCCCACCACTGTTATGCTTCTTTTTATGTGTTGTGTTCCTCCAGGACGTAGGTGATCATGGCCCTCTACATCTTCCTGTCCCTTGTAGCTCTTAATAAGTTTTGTCTTTTTATTATTTCTCCCAAACCCTGTTCTGCCATCCATTTACTCAAGCTCATCAAGTATGTTACACACTGCTTTCCTCTGTCTCTCTCAATCTGTCCTGTTATTACTTTGCCTAAATAATTGAATTTTCTGCACTTGTTTCATTTTAACATCCCCTATGTGTAATACACTTCTTAGGTTGTCCATTTTGCTCACCAGCATGCATTCCATCTTTTATAATTAACAGTCAATTCTTTTTTTCTCTCATTTTTAACTTGCTTGTCCAATAGTGCTTTCAGTTTTCCTTCTGAATCTGTTAATCAGCACAATATCATCTGTATACTGTGTATTTAAGGTTATTTTCACTGCTAATAAATCCTGATAAATCCTTTCTCTTTGCAAGTTAAATCTGGGGATAAAACACATCCTTGTTGCACTCCTCTTTCTATTTTGGCAGATGCAATTCATTTTTTATTTGTTCACAATATAAATGTTGAATTATTTGTACCTCTTTTCTATAAAGACTGAACTTTTCCAATATTTCAAGATGCTCTTCATGTATCTTTATTAAGTCTTTCTGCATTTCTCTGGTTCATTTTGAAGGCAACTATAGCATTTCTTTTTCCAGTGTTTTGTACAAAACCATATTGTTCTTCCCTTATGTTCAATCTATTTCTGCTACAAGATATATTTATTGAAATTCTAATTACTTTTATGTGATAAATCAAGCTGATTGTTCAGTGAAGCCATCATTTGTTCATGCCTTGTTTCATTTGCATTGCTATGTAAACAATAATTATTGGATTCAAGAGTTAATTTTTTCCCTACATCAATTTTTGTATCTCTTTCATTTAATATTCTTAATTTGGTTTTACTGTGAGAAAAGTGAGTTTTACTCTTTGGTATTGTAATGAAATGCTTTGATAAACAAAAAGTGAAACATCTTGATTTTTAAAATTTTGATTAGTCAGAAAGTGCTTAATCATGTGATCTGTTAAAAAAAATATGCTGGAGGAGCTATTTGTACATATACAAAGCATTAACTAACTTAATTGGTTTTAAGGTCTTTGTGTGTCTACAAATTTCAACAATTTATTATTTAAGTATTATTTATCTTTCAAATTGAAAGAAATGAATTACAAATATTTTTTTCGAACTCCACACAAAATACTTTGTGTATTTTATTGTTTTTTTTTTACAGTACAACTGAATGAATTGTGTTTGTATAGGATAAACAGAAAATGCATCTACATGTGTGCATGTATATGACATGGATTTACATTGTTTTATCTATGCGTATAAATTGTCGTTGACCACATGAAAAAGGCAGCGGAAGCTAGCTGCTACTGTTGATGCATGTAAACAAATTTAGACTGCATGTTTTTTTTTTTTTTATGTGTCAATATCACTAAGCATTTTTTTGTAATACATACTCAAATAAATATACAAAAAATAAGTAATTAAGTGTGAGAATTTCAGTTTTCTTTGTATAACAATCAAACAAACATCCTGGTCAAAGGTTCACTGAAAGACTACTTGGCAAACAAGAATTGATATATTTATAATGAAATAATTGGCTCTCAAAAATTAGATTTATTAATCCCAAGCTTATTGGTTAATAAATATTTTCCCAATTTTTAAATGTCTATTTTAAGGAGGGAAAATATTGTCAATCATATTCTAAAGTGAGCATCCTAAATTTCATTTTAAGAAATATTTATCATCTGCAATTTCAAAGAATATACACACAAACTATCTCAATACCTGTGATCTTGGCCTCCAAAATCCTACAGATTTTTCATGTAGGAACTGAACTCTACTGCCAGATATTACAATTTACAGTCTAATATTTATAATCTCAAAACCCAAGTTCTTATCTTGGCAAATATAATTCTACATGAAGTCAAAAACAAGAAAGAGTTTTCCTCATATATTCACTATTTTTCAGTAACCCTGTTCCTGAGAGATGTGCACATTATAGCATTCTTTATCTTTTGCAATGCGTTAGGTATTAACATATATAAATCTCTAATATACGTTTTATTCCTCAAAGTTAAAGATTGTTATTGATGAAAAATTATCACATTTTGAAATAAATAACTTCAAAGATATTTGATTTGTTTTATGCTTTAAATTTTTTATCCATTTTGAAATTGAAGACATTATTTATTTTTAAAACAGAACTTTGCTTCTCCTTACAATATACAAGTTTTTTTTTGTTTTGTTTTTTTTAAATTTTGATTAATTCAGTTTCCACAGCTTTGCAGGTTATTTAAAGCCAGAAAATATTTTTTAGATTATAAGAGCTGAATTCTTTATTTATTTAGATAATTATTTAGTAATACACGTCTTATTAATTAACACATAGTTGGTGGGAA